AAAAAAAAAAAAAAAAAAAAAAAAGAACAAAGAAAAAGAGAAGACAAGAGAAGACGTCCGTACACCCTCATCAATAGTTTGAAATATGCCCATGTCTCTTTCTATGTGGTCAAACAACAATGTTGGTCCTCAACTTTCTAGAATTTTTCAGTTTAATTATTAGATTTTAGAGTTCTACAATTTGATCATCAATCTCGCTATTTATTTATCCCTTAACTTTAGAAGTGTTCATATCCATACCAATCCAATTAATCTGATCAAATCCAAATCAATCCAATTAAAAACCAATTAAAACTATTATTTAATTGAATCAATTAAGTAAAAAAAAATATAACTTAATTAAATTGATTTGATTGGTGTTTTACTTTATATTCATCCAATTCAACTGATATTGAAAAATTATTTAAGGAAAACTAATTATTCCCAATTCTTATATTCTTACCATTTATTCATCCCAACCTTAAAATTGTGTTATTGTTTATATCATAAATTACATTTTTTTTAGTGATGTTACATATTAACGGATAAAATGAGATTAAATCTACTAAAAAAATGCATATTTGTAAAAATTAATTGGGAGGATAAAAATTATCCAATTTATTGTAACTTAAATTTAAAAAAAAAAAAAAAAAAACAAAAATCCCTAAAATTTGAGAGGAAGTTCAGTTGATGAGTTATCCCGTGATATGAACAACCAGCAATAAAATGGAGAGATGAGTTGCAGGAAGCGTATAAATTAAAGCTTTTTGATTTTTTAACACACACGATCAACCTTACACAACTCATCAAATTTTCAAATTTTTAATTTTGCAGTGATTGTGCACCTTAACTTTCATATGTCAGTTTTAGTACAGATCCTAGTAAATTTAAATTGCTTTCAACATTCAAGCACCCAAATTAATGTGTAATTGCTTCTTTGATTTCCTTTCATGGAATAAACGTCATGTTTACTCCAATTTCCATTTTTTTCAATTTATTTTGGATTTATTAACTTCAATTCATGATATTAGTAAAGTTTTTGAAATTGTCCAAAGCAGATTAATAACCCATTCTGCAAGAAAGCATCCATCTTTCTTGCAAATCGTCTAAAAGGCGCAAAACTCAATTTTAAACCAACGTTCTTCCAGCCATCCGAACAAAGATTAACAAAAATCAACAGCGTGAAAGAAAAGGGTTACTAAGAAAATCCTTTTTTCCTGCTTTTCCAAAAAGTATGTGACAAGCTCGCATCCAGATTTCGCAAATGTAAAGCCACTTGAAGATTTTTGAGGAAACAGTTATACAATGTTTTCATCTATTACAAATTTACTCGGTTTTACTTCTATTTTTGTATAATTAAAATTCACAAAAAGAATAGTATAATCAAACTTCCAAAAAAAATTTTCTTTTTATGGGACACAACCAATTAATCTAATCTGAACCAATCTAATCCAATAATAATTGGACTGGTTTCGTTGTAGCATATTGGATTGGGTTGGTTTAACATTTCTTCCATCCAATTCAATTGGATTAAATAGAAAAACTGTCTAAAATAGCCAGGAAATGGACCTTTAAAGAATATTTTCCCAAGGTTATTTGCTTTGGCTACCAACAAAAGATGGAACAGTTGAGGAAATGAGTGAATTTGTTAATGAGGTCTGGGTGTGGAAGGTACCGTGGAGGAGTGGAAGGCCAGGGAGGGAGTTGAACGAAGAAAAGGATTTAATAAGTTGATTTGAAGGGGTTAGGTTGATTTTAGGAAGGGAGAACTTGTGGTGGCAGAATGATACTGATGGAGTATATTCAGTAGAAGCTGCATATGATTTTTCTAACATCTAATGAGTATTTGCTGGATAAGAAGTGGTCCAAGGTCATTTGGTGTAAGTTTGTGCCATCAAAGTCAAGTATTTTTAGTTGCAGGTTATTCCTCAATAAGCTTGCAACTAAGCATAATCTTTGTAAAAGGGGGTGCTTTTGCAGGGGTTGGAAGTGTATTGTGGTTTGTGTGAAGGTGCTCTTGAAGATATTGATCATCTGCTTTGTCGGTGTCAGTTTGACGGCTTGTTTGGATGGAAGTTCTGGGATGGTGGGAGGTGGAGGGTGTCCTGCCGGGTAGTTTTTTAGGAATAGCTGAGTATTTTCTTTATAGTGTGAAAGGCAGGGGTCGGAAAGAAATGGGTGCTTTAAATTTTTCGGTTTTGGAGGAATCTTAAAAGCTTTAAGAAACAGACATATGCTAGCGGGAGTGTGTTGTATAATATTCTCGGTCCAAGACATTTGTCTGCGGAATTAAAAACAAAGCAGCAGGCTGTACTTTTACATTTCGAGATGGGGTGCCGAGCAACAAATTGTGCATGGGAAATCAAACAATACCAAAAGAATTTGAAGCATTCCCGAGTGAGGTAACATAGACATAGGTGGGCAAGTCTTGTAAGCATGGAAGAAATGGTGTGAGTTTTGTTTTTCTATTTCACTGTTGTGTTTGTGTTTGTTTTGTTAGTTGATGTATTTTTTTTACCAGTATATTTTTCAATTCAGCACATTCTATACCACTTATTGATTCAACAATTAAAATCTATTATTTTAAATTTTTTACCTTTATTTCAAATTTAAAAATAATAATTTCTTACCATTTTACTCTCGTCAGCAGCTGCTAGGGTTAGGTTTCCCTATCGCCCATCTTGCGTGAGCCTCTCGCTTAGGCATTTCCTCCCTGCTAAAGGGTCTCCTCTACCTTCTCCTTTTCATGCTTTGATTCTGTTATTTTGTTATGGCTTCCCCTACGATTCTGGCTTGGAATTGTCAAGGCTTAGGCAATTCATTAACAATTTCAGAACTCAAAAAAATAGTTTGAACTCAAAAGCCACACAGCTGCTTTTCCTTTCGGAGACTTAAGAGAACTACTTCAGAGATGGATAGAATCCGATTGGATTTGGGTTTCTCACATTGTTTTTCAGTAGGTCATAACGAACGTAATGGGGGTTTAGCCATTCTCTAGAATGACGAAAGTGCAAATTCAACTCCTCACATCCTCCCAATCTCATTTTGATATGGAAATTCGTGATTTAACAGATGTAAGTTGGCACTTGACTGGCTTCTATGGACAACCAAATGTCAGAAGGCGTCACGAATCCTGGGCACTACTCAAATTGCTCAAATCAGCTTCTTCTTTGCCATGGGTTTGTTTAGGAGATTTCAATGAAATAGTGAAGCAGTCAGAAATGATGAGTTGGAATCCTAGATCTGAACGTCAGATAGAATCCATTTGTGAACCATAGAATACTGTGGCTCCTCGGAGTTAGGATTTAAAGGACCTCGTTTTACTTGTGTTAGAAAGCAACATGGTAGCATATTGCGAAAATGGCTAGACAGAGTTCTCATGAACCGTGCATGGGAAGAACAGTTTCCAGGATCCATATCATATCACCTTCCTACCATTTGATCGGATCATTCGCCCATCTTGCTAAAGACACAGCGTCGATTTTAGGCAATTTAGCTTTGACAACTATTGGCCTAGTGATGACGAGTGTGAGACTTGTCAAAGAAGCATGGAATCAAGGAGTGGGGGCACGGTAATAGACAGGGTCCTTGCCAAAATTAATCATTGTGGTGTCCTGCTACAGGATTGGAGTGATCATAAATTTGGGAATATTCTCGAACGAATTAAGAAACTGCAGATTGATTTGCAGCAGCTGCAAGATAGCAGTGTTAGTGATTGTAGTTCGGAGCACTTAGAGGAAGTGGAGAATGAGTTGCGGGGTTTACAAAAACAAGAGGAGGTTTATTGCAAATAGAGATCTCGAGTCCAATAGCTCAAGCTCAAGTAGATCCCTCCCATATATTGCAGAAGATTCGAAAATGAGTTTCTCAAGCAGAGACAGTGGCTATGGACAGGACATACATAGAAGAAGAGGTAATCTCCGCTCTCAAACAAAATCCACTCTTCAATGGCCCAGGTCCTTATGGAATGAATGCTAGTTTCTTTAAGCATTTTTGGCCAATCGTTTGGCATCACGTCACAAAGACAGTTCTGGAATTTTTGAACGATGGGACCATGGCTAAGGGACTGAATAAGACTCATATTGTCTTAATCCCTAAGTAGAAAAATCATCCAAACACAATGAAGGACTCTTGTCCAATCAGCCTTTGCAATGTGATATACAA